ATTTTACAATTTTTAGCCTCTGATTAAATTCATTTAGCTGTTACTGATACATTTTTGAGAACTTGTTGCTGAAATCATTTTTTCAATAGGAATTTCATTTGAACGGACAGGTGTTACAATTCGGTTCGCGTTACAACTCGACCGATTTGACCCTAGTTACGGGGTTACAGCGTTGGCGAAACGTAGGAAAGGGGGAGAGATCGTGGGTTTATTTCATATCCGCGTGTGTGCTCGTGGAACCGTTATCTGGCCGGCTTTATATCGTCCGGTTTACACGGCTGGCTCGTGTGTTCCACGTCTTAACGGCTCCTCCGTCTGTGGGCCCGCTGCATGTACACGTATTCGGGACGGCAGGAGATCAGGGCGTTACAAAAACCAGGAGCGTGCCAATGCGGTTCGAACGAATTAAAAACGAGGCGATCATCGATTTTGACTCTCGTCCCATTTCTCGTAACCGCGTTGACGCGTTTCTTGCCGCTACGCTAAATTATATACGACGGGACAGATTTTCACCGAACGCAGAGCCATTCCCATTTGTATGTTAAAACCCGTGTTTATGCAAATGCGTGTTTAATGACATGTGGGTCACCGGTGACACCTGCTGTCCCGGTTCCTCTTTACCCCTTCCCAGTTTTTTTTTTTTCAGATCAACGGAAGAAAGTGATAATCAGTGGTACAACACTGTGGTGGATGACTGTTCACAATAAAAAAATAGTGATTGCGTGAAACTGATGGAATTTTGTTCAGTGATGTATAAATACAACGTCAGGATTAGGAAGCGTTTCTCGATGGTAAAGAAAAAACGAAGCTCATCTTTAATTCAAAACTCGAACTGTGATTCGCGGCACGTCTCTGTCCGGGATGGAAACCGGGCCCGGATTTTTTCCTTCCTTTTGCGGAGGATATATCGTAAGACGCAATGAATCTACGTCGGAGGTAATACCTCACGTGCTCCGCGAGTTGCATCTGTTGCGTACAGCCACGGTCTTACGCAAGGAAAGTTATATCTTCCCGAAGATAAACCTCCGTCGCCTCTCACGAATCGGAGAGACAGTGAGCGATCTTCAAAACAAGCACGGCACCGCGTTTACCACGAAACGGCGTACGTAGGAAAATTACCTCCCTCCCTCCCGTACGGTTTTAAAAGGGAAACCATAATTAGTGCCGGTCCGCTAAATTTTATGCTCCCCGGTATGGAAAGCGTGAGAATCAATACGAAGAATCGAGTTCTCATAGTGTGAATTTGGTAAATCTCAGTCTTAAGAATAGTTAATTGACTGTGGGTAGTTAAAACAATCGCATGCTAATTAAGACGCTATCATTACGCGCCCTTTTGTATACCGAGACGGTGCTCCTATTTTAACGACGGAACAAAGATGAGACTCGTGGATTTGTACATAACGACGAAGGAACGGTTCCTATTTTTATGAAAGCCTACAAATAATTTTAACGACGTCTGTGATCCGTCGTACTAAGGAGACCAGAAATGATTCTCAAGGATTAAGAACGTAGCTCGGGATACATTTTTACTAGAAGGTGAAAGCAACGACGTTGACCCGAGTCTTATGCGGTCACCCCGCGAGTCATGCTCGCGCGGGTTAATCGAAGAGAAAGGGTGTTCGATCGCGCTGTGGGGTCGCTTTCGATTTCTCCCGTGTGCACTTACTTGAAGGGAAGCGTACGTCCACTCGTTGCACGGTTCCTCGGGATGGATGAGAAGCACGAGAAAAAGTCCTGCGTACGCGCGTAGTTATATTTTTTCGGTTTGCCCAATGGGTGAACGCGTGAACCTCTCTCGTCCAGGATCGATCGCGGCGAGAAAGAAGAATGAACTGCGATGGACGAGGTGGCGACCGGTATATAGCCGGCCCACATTCCCTTCTGGCTCGAGTAACCCAGATTCTTCCCACCCGACTGTGTCTGGGGAACATCTTCGGGGGCCTGAAAGGTGGAATAAGTCCCATCTTGCCCCGGACACCTCTCACCGATTCCTCCTCCTGTCCGTTACTCGCCGCGGGTCCCTCGGACGCCTTTGGCAGCTACAATTCGTTTTTCTCGCGCTGGAATCTCTGTAATTGATTCTCCTAAAGGAATTGTCCTTCCGCTGCACGAACGCCTCGTAGACGCATCGATTTTCATTGATGAGGTCTCATTTTTTTACTAGGTCATTGGGTTGAAACTACTCTTTTTTTAATCAAATGTATTTACTGTACTCGGTTAATTGACTGATAACGAAATTGTATCATTATTTGTATGAACACAGTCTCGTGGATGCACGTGGCTCCTTGGTCATGTATGTGAAGTAATAAGGAAGTTTGAATCTAACAAATGTGAAGAACTTAGGCTCTCGTTATTAAATTAGAATTTCGTTTGTTTTTACATCAAACATATTTACTATTCTTGGTCGATTTATTCATCGATTAATCATTTCAGAAATCGTATTATTAATTCTATAAAAAAATTCTTGTGCATAGAACACTTTGCTTCTTGATTATATGTATTAGAATAACGAGCAAGATTGAGTCTAATTATACGGGAAACCTAGACTGTCTTTATTAAATTGATAGAAACTAGTTTTTTTTTTTTTTAAATCAAATATATTGACAACGATTTACAAATTTGATCATTTACAAAATCATTCTTCCTATGAATAAATTCTTATGGACAGAACATATCCTGGCTCCTTGATTACGTCTATTAAAGTACTGAGGAACTTTAAATCTAATAGAATCCATTTGTTCTTTATTAAAGTCTTAGGAATTCGGTTCTTTTCAAATCAAATATATTTACAATTTAATGTACAAAGATATTTAGTACATTTATAAAAAATTTACAGTCGTTCATCCGCCATTTGTATCGTTTATATGTACATTCGTATTAGTACAAAGAGTTCTTCTTGGCGATCGTGGATAAAACACATCCTGCCTCTTTGATTATATGTATGAGAGTAATGAGCATGTTTGGACCTAATGGAATCCATGCAGCATGCAAACAGCCAGGCTTTCACTCTTCTTCCTGAATACACTTCTCCACCAGCTCTCTTAAATTAGGATTCTCCATAGCAGCAGCGATTCTCTCTTTGTCGTTTATCTGTTTGTTTACTAAAACACAGAATTTTAATGAATGATAATCGATGATCAATTTTAATTTAATAATCGAGCATACTCACTCTCTTGTTCAGTAGAGTGTGCACCTTTTTTAATGTATATATCTAGTTTAAAAAAGTCTTCTAACTGTCGTTCTAATTTTACTCTAATGCAAAGACCAATTAGCGTCGCCAGGGAACAGTGTGGCACTGTTGGGTTGAACTCGATCCGTATCACAGAAACACCTTTGGGCGTCTGGTTGAGAATCTCGACACAGTCTTCATAGACAACATCTAGTTGCTCCAGAGTCTGCGGTTTCTCCGGGTCCTTGATAGTCCTCAGCAGGTCTACAATAACAAACTTGATGAGTCTTAAAAACATTCTTACATGCAGTCCAAGTTATTTAAGTTACGAAAGCGATAAAACGCTGTACAGTTATTGTGGATTCAACAGTTTGGGGGTAATGAAAGGTGAGCGGTTTTGATGAGTAGCGAGGTTTACACTTGCCATAGACGGACTCCTTGAGTTCAGCGTCGGACAGCGAGAGGATCGCACGATTTTTCGCGTCCAAGCAGCCTTCGGTAGCCTCCATTTCGTCGCCTGTCGGCAAACCATCTCTTATCTTTCCTCCGATTGAGATTTTTCGTAAGAACGACAACATACTTTCCTCGTTCCCCACCAGCCACTTGGCACAGGTCAACGGATCATTGTTACAATTTGTTTATGCTATGCTTATGGCCGACGAGAGCTCAGGGTTCGTATAATTTTTCTTGCATGGCTCGCTTCCCCTCTTTTTCGCCCGTATTTCGATCCCCACTACTATTCTCCTCATGCGCCATGCCTAGCATACCGTCATCGAGTACCAGTCCCCACAATGGCCGCGTCGTCCCCACTTTTCGGCCAAGGGAAAAATTATAGGAACCCTGCGAGAACTTAACCTCTGCGCAATTGCGAGCAGAATGCATGTGACTGGCTTATCGTTCCGACCCCGGCCGTAGCCTCTGCCAGGTTTCCATTTCGAATTTAATTTCAATAATGAACTCACGTTTTCTGTCAATTGTTCCTATTTTAATATTGACACTCATGTGAAGTTAGGGATTAAGTAGAGGCGATTAATAAAGAATTAGGCAGGCCATGTTATTTATTAATTTAATTAGGAAATATTGTATAAAATTAATACAAGTTTTCAGTTATTATTGGTTTCGATTTAACACATCGTTCTCCGTTTCTCTTATCTGATTACGCTGTGAAAGGGAAAAGATTATAGTACCAT